TTTAGGGTATTTAAAGAATACCCACAAAAATCCCAAATTTGGAAGAGTAAGACAAGTCCCAATCAGGGAACTTGGTTGGGAATTCCCTGGTTGGGACTTGTCTCACTTTGCCAAATTTGGGATTTTTATGGGTATTCTTTAAATACCCTAAAATACCCAAAAATGGGAATCTGTTATTTTTTCCTGTGAATTGTCTTCTATTAAAATAAGCAGCAACAATCGTTGTTGGAAACTATCAATTTTTAAACACCCCAGAGCTCTGTCCTTCCAAGCATATACAAGTCAAGTACTTGACAGCATAACATCTCATGCTGTTACAAAATCTGTAGTCCAGAAACCAGTATCCTGTTCAAACTAATTAACACAGGGCTAGGATGTTGGATTGCATTGAGGATGGTTTAGAAAGTGTTTTGGAAATATTTTTCTCTGATCCATTTAAAATTTCATGTACTACAAATGTGCTTTTTTACACCTGTTTCTATACTTTATTTACATGTACAGCTAACGATTTGCAGTCTTTGATCTGCAAAGTTCCACACATCCACTGAAGCACATCTTTTTATTATCATATTATTATTTACAATTACACAGATCAAGATTGCTATCCCAAATTTTCTTTGAAACTTTGCTGCTATCCTTACCATAGAAAGGTCAAGAGCAAAGAACACAGCTGCCCTAGTTTCATAATCAATCGGCCCTTTCGTTCTGTTTGCCCATCCTTGACGAAACAAGCTGGTGCATTCTGCAGCATCAGCGGTTCTCTTATAAGTAGCATTTTGCAAATAAACTCCATTTCGTCCATCCTCATGCACATCAATGTGTCTTTCTGGAAAAATTATTAAAAATAATGTTGATTTATAAGCCACCTGAAGTTCCACAGAAAGTGCATTGATAGAACACAAGGTAAAGTTACAGGTATTCTGCACACTAATTCTTCAGCTTTACATGTAATTTGTATAAAATCTGGTTCAGTGGAAAAAACTGCTACTCAATCAATTTTGTGGATCGTGAAGATCAATACTTACATTTGTAAACTTGATAATGCTAAGTGAGATCTACACAATCAGAAGCCCTTGCTGCCAATTACAGCAGTTACCTTGCCTACTACTGAATAACATTTTCACTGGGCTGTTGTGGGTGTGAGTGCCATCCCATGGGATCCTGAGAAACTTAAGCCTGTACTAGACCACATTCAACACCGCATTTTACAGCATTTATGAGTGAAAGTTCCTGGTAACCAAGTGCTAAGCTAAGCTGTAAGAAATTGCACTCAGCTCACGGGGGCCAGTCTTGGTGACCTTTCGGGACCAACATCAAATATTCACATCAAAATCTACATCTTATTATGACATGTAAGGATATCTGCAAAATTACTTGAACCTCTTTCTTGGTAGCCTGAGTAAACAGTAGACACTTCACAATGCCACCACTAGCAGGGTTGTCACTAAGATTTCAAGTTGCCGGGTGAATACAACAAGTAAGCGGGGAATCAAACGGCTAAGGATTTCTTTTGGTTCTATTTTTCTTCTATTTTCCAATAAAAGTAGCCGGGGGCCACTCTCTTAGTAGCCGGGGAAAATCCCCGGCCCCCAGCTCTTAATGACAACCCTGACTAGTTCCCCCGGTTCACAAGGGAACCAGTGGAAGCGCATTCAAATGTCGGCTGTTTTTACAAGCTACTTCTTGAATACAAGCATAACAGCTTTCCAGCCTGTTATGGGTCTGAAATGTTTCTGGGTCTTTTGAGAAAAGCTCACCAGGCTCTTTTAAAATCTACCTTGATCATACAAAAAAACACTTTATTTCAGTGTCAGGGTATTTAGCAATAAAGTACTAATTGGGGACACTATTCTTACATCTCCAACTGGAGATGCGACCGCCATTTTAAGTGGTCATCCGTGGCACCACGTGAAGTGTAGTGCAAAGGGAGTACCTTCATTTCCAGGTTATTTTAAGACCCTGAGTGTTGGTCCAGCCCCAGGAACCCATGACCTCCTGCTCTGCAGTCAAGCGCTCTACTGACTGAGCTACCGGTAACCCTACCGTCGTTAAATACCCTGAGTGTTGGTCCGGATTATTCACTAAAGGGATTACCCATCAGGGTGGATTTGGTCTTAACTTAGAGTATATGTGGGTAACTGTGTTGGTGGGGGGAAGGGGTGGGAAATGGAAGTCATAATTTCCTTCTCCAACCCCCCTCTGGCGGTCAAGAGGTTCACAACCACTGTATCATTTCATCCAGTCAACTACTTCTGGGCTGCAAATCTTTCACGCTGCAAGAGCCGCCACATAAGACATCACTAGGATATCAGCACTTACCCTCATGAGGAAGCACAAGTAGATCTCTTACTTTCTCATTGTAAACTTCGTACAACTGCACGTAAACAACCCCGTCGTTAAGGTCATTTCTTTGCACCCTTAAATCTCTTCTTGCCGATCTCTCATTTTTTATTCGCGTGAACACGGCGTTTATAATCAAAGGAACTAATCCTGCCTTTGAAGTTTTCTCTCCGGCAACAGAGTAAGACTTTCCCGAGCCTGTTTCGCCAAAAACCAGTACACAGACGTTGTAACCAGAAACCAAGAGGTCCACAAGAGAGGAAAATGCATCTCTAAATATATCATAAGTCAGTGACTCAGACTTGTGTACCGCACTGAAAATGTGACCAGTTCCATCGCCTGCTTGTACACGAGTCCCAGAAAGATTGAGAGAAAAGTTCTCTCCCCGTTTTGGAGGCCGAACGCGAGCTAAGACTTCCACGTTCATCTGTCACGAACTGCCCGCCATTGACATTAGCAGCCTGGCCTGGTTGCCAATGCTTGGCTACCAAGGATGTTTTTCGAAACGTCTTCCATCGAGCATGGAACAGACACTTTCGATGTAAACAGTGTCCCTTTCTTCTGTTTCTTCGAATAATGTGGAATGTTATCTTCGAAATAACTTAATTGAAGCCTTTTCGCAACAATGTTCCCCACAGCTGGATATTTTCGGAGCACAAACTGCCCTTTCTTTGTTCATGGTTTATGCCACCGGCCATATTGTCATTTCCGACACAGCAAACCTGGTACGTACAGCATGTTTTTTAAAAGGAAGAGTTTACGTGCGATAAAGTCCAGATTTTCCGTTGATTTATAGTTCTTATCTTGCAATAATGTCAGTTCTTCCAAACAGAAAGCGGGAATAGGAAGCAGAATTTTGAAATCATCTAATTAATGATATTAATCTTGATTTTGAAAAACAAGCTTGTACCTATTGGTATGTATCAGTGACATGATAACTAGTGGTTAACCCAAATGAAAGCAACAAACTTTAAACGTCGACTCTCTGTCTTATTGCATTTTTCAGTTTTAGGCTCAAAAAGGGTTGGGGTGGGGGGCGGGGGGAACTTTTAATCTCCGCCCATCTCTTACCCCTCTGCTGACTCCACCCCCAGAGAAAAACCTAGAGCTTTGGAGCTCTAGGCCCGGTTGTTCGAAACTCCATTAGCACTAATCCATAATTAGACATGCTAATCAGCGATTAAAATTTAATCCATGCTTAGATTGCATTACTCAACAAAGCCTGATTAGTGCTAATGGACTGACTCTAATCAGTGGCTTAAATTTAATACACCTCCCGAGGAAGGTTAATTCCCTACTTGGTCGATTAAATTTGAAACAAAATGGCTGACATATTTTTTCATCTCTCAAAGATGCCCATGAATTTATCGATACAACGATAGTATACTCACTTATAGCGATCAAGCACTTCGGGCTCACTACAGATTAAATGGCAAAGAGTATATTCAGTAGCATTCTTCTTTGCACCAGTAATGCTGTCGGAAAATTTAGATCTCATGAGGTCCAATTTTTCCTCAACGTTTTCCCGTCAATATGGTTATTTTTGAGTCTGACCAATTTGTTATTTTTTTGTGGCTACCTTGATCTGCTTTCCTTTTTCTGCAGATGCCATATTGGAAATCTTAGGGAAAGATTCATTATAGGTTGCTAGTCGTCAATTAGGGAGACAATATAAATAGTTTTACACTGAGTACGAACCGTTAATCAGCAATTAACTAATTGCAGGTCTAATTGGGCTTTGCACAATGCTCTCAATTCCACTGATTAGCTAAATCAGGTGTTAGCAATAAAATGTAACCCACTATTAAGCTTAATTGTGGATTAGTTTGATAACGGGGGTTGTGAACAACTGGGTCTTGGGGTAAGACAATTTTGGTTTGTAGTTTTTGGGGGTTGCTGGGATTTCTCATTGTAGTTATCCCTGGAAGGCCAGGGATTGTGGATTACAGTGGAACCTCAATGGAACCTTTATAACAAAACTCTAATGAAGTCCTTGGTATAACAAATGACTCTCTTTGGCCCAGTAATAGTAAAATGTATGAAAAAAAGGAAGAAAACCTTGATTTAATGAAACCTCGATATAGCAAACAAATTTTGCCAGTCTCTTGGTCCTTGTTGTATTTATGTTCCACGTGTAAATGTGTGCACTCGGTATCTGTAATGACACTTTTGCTATGTTAGAGCTTGGTCACATATTGGATTTTGTTTTGCAGGCATTATAACTTTTGATCAGAAGCAAATAACCCTGAAGCTTATAACTCTGTTCCAGTGCTGTTTTTTTTTTGAGAACCAATTTTGGTTTGTGGTTGCCCCCACCCCCCACCCCTGTAAGGTTTTCTCATTTTTTTTTCCTAGATGATAAAACATCAGCACCTGAAGTTTTCTGTAGCTGTTCATTTATCCTTTAAGCGCATTTTTAGACAAGTTTAGTGATGGTCAGTTACTTTGGTTACAAGATATTACGTCATAAGTGGCAGGTGGTCAAGCCATTTTTGAGTAAAGTTTGTGGATAAAATGATGAAAAGGAATCATTTATGTGTTTTTTTGTGACGTCACAGACCTCCAGCAGCGCCACCACCCACAAAATATACCTCATACTATAGAGAAGATCGAAGGTTTTTTTCCACTGAAGGCAAAATCGTTTCAAAATACTGCAACATATCAAAAACTCAAGGGGGGGTTCCATTAACCCACCCCCTTTACCACCGTGGGGGTATGACGTTGAGTGTACATCCGAGGGTTAAGAGCACTGGACAAAGGCCAGTCAGAAAAACATAAAATGTATCACAATGTGCACTGAGATGTGAAAGCACTAATCGAAAGTCTTTGCAAAAAAAATTCATACACGCCATCGCATAGTGTAGTGCCCACAAATGAATGCACACTCATTGGCTACTCCCTGTGAATGTAAATATTTTTGTCAGTTGATTATCTTAATGGCTCAGGGAATGCTATTAAGTTACATGTAGGGATGTAATTGAAGAATTGTCAAGGACTAGGAGGAATCCATTATTAGCTACTTCTTAGACAGGGATACATGTACCTTCAATTCTTGATTCTGATTCCATATTACCTCATAATTGGGCAAAAAAATTTTCTTGCTTCTGATTAGACAGCTAAAGAACCCAGCATGGTTCTTAATAGATAATAAGGAGAATTTAGATGCTTCAGGGTTATATGCTTCTGCTTTGATTGGGTTGATTTTTTTTTGGGGGGGGGGGGTGGGGTGGGGTGGGGGAAGTAGCCTCCCACGCAGAGGTTTTTAGGGGAGCTCGTATTTCATCCCTCCCCACAAACGCCTGCTCAACTGAGAACAACATTCCTTTCCCAAAAGGTTGACCTTGACCACAGGGAAACCCGATAATTACTCGATCTGCATGAAACACTGGGAAAGCTTTATGACCTCTAATAGTAAATATTAGACTCAGAGTGGCAAAAGTAAGATTTAGATTTTAGAAAACTCTGTGCACAGCATAACCCTAGCAAAGGCAAGAAAAGAAGGAAAAAGGTAACTCAAAGGTCACGTTTTTACACTACCATGAGCTTATGAGTCGTGTTTGTTGGTTGGTCACTTACTACACAAATAAAACAATGGGAAAGGAATGTTGTTCTCGGTTGAGCAGGTGTTTGTGGGGAGGGACGAACTGCGAGCTCCCATACAAACGCTTGCGTGGGAGGCTAGGGAAGAAGGGATGTTTTGGCATTTTTATTTTGACCCCATTATGGATGAGATGTACTGGGGAAATTTTCTCTTCTGAAAATGAAATGCCCACATATGTGGAGCCCTTGAGAATTAGAGGTTGAAAATTTTTATTGCTTCAGTGCTTTATAAAGGGGTCTGCTTGTGGTGGAAAGCAAAAGAGATTTTGTGTTTTATTGCGACAGGATTAAAGGCATCAAAAAGTAAAATCTCCCCTCACAAGCTGAAAACAGACGAGCATCGTTCTGCAGGACATGTGGAACCGTTATCTAAAGGCCCCTCTTCTGACATCAAGGCAGGAGGTTCTGTTCATCAGGATGGCAAACCTGAGACATCAACAATGACGACGACAGCATCAGCAACAACAACAACAGCCATTAAAAGCATTTTGAAAAAGTCAGGTGAAGAAATCACCAAACAGTCAAACCATAGAGATTCACCAAGACCCAAACAAGGTAAAAATACAAGCATGGCTGACTCAGTGAGAACTGAACAAAGTAGTACAGAGTCATTTGATGATATGGAACAGCCTGTAGCATCTCTCACCGATGAAGAGAAGCAGATTATTGGACTCATGACGCACCCACCCAGTATAAGCAGTGACTCTGGATCAGGTAGAAGTCCAGAAACGAAAAATTCCCTAGTTGCAAATTCTACATGTAGCAGCCCTTCAAGTTCAAACAATTGTATTTCTGCTCTTACAAACAAAGAGAACAAAGATGTTGTTGCCTGCAGCGAAAAGGCTATGAATGTGAACTTACATGTAACTGATACTTCTAACGATGTACAAATAAAAGTCGAGATTTCCAAGGATACAACAAATAAAGGGTTGGTTAAGAAAGAGGAAATGGAAGTTGAAATGCATGTGGATTCAAGCTGTACTCTTATGGCAGAAAAACATGATGTTGCTATCTCTGGGGAAAATGCAAATGCTAATACTGAGGAAAAAACTGATAAAATACCAAAAAGAAGGAAATCTGTTCCTCTTAAAACATCCACAACAACAACAACAACAACAACAACAAAGCCTTCAGCTGTACAATGTCAAGACAAGACACCCCTATCAGATGTAGTCAGTAAGAAAAAGAAATCATTGCATTTAACTTGTGTTACAGATGGTAGTGTATCTGCTGGTCCATCAAAGGATTCTAAAAAAGTTAAGGAATCAGCAATTTTGAAAGGGAGTGAAGTGTGTAACAAACAACAACCTAGTACTGCACTGGATGAATTTTTAAAGTCTGCATCGAAATCATTTCAGGAAATTGAATGTTCTACCAAAATGTCTCTGATTGGTAAAGACACGCCAGTGCTAGAAGTGCCCTATGTTATACCAAAAAAGAAAAAGCCAGTTGATGGCAGTGCTAAAACTTTAAAAAGAAAGATTTCTATGAAGGACGATTCTGTGGAAACTTCACCTGCTGCGAAGAAAAAGGTGATATCTGAGGCTGAAATAAATTTCTTTGGATCTAAAAAGGCGCAAAAAGGTAGCAAAGCAGAAAGACCAAAGAAAAGTAAAGAAATGTTATCTCCAGTTAAAACTGCTAGAGCCGCAAAGGTGGAGACCGGAAGTTTGGATAAGCGGAAAGACTTAAAACGAAAGTTTTCTAAAGGTGTTACAATATTGATAAGCGATGACAGTGATGCTTTGAGTACAGGAAATGCTGATTCAAGTTCTGAAGAAGAAAGTCATCTTAAACAGATTTGGGATGAGTATGATCCAGAACCCG